GGGCCAAGGACAACGTTGGTGTCAGGTGGCCTTAGGTTTTAATCACTGGCTCACTGTTTACCAGCAGTACAACCTCAGGGAAGTTGCAGAGGCTCTCTGAAGCCATTTCTTCATCCATCACATGGTAAAGCTAACCTTTCCTGCGTGGGGTTGCCGTGAGAGTTACACGAGACACGTGAGAAGACAGAGCCACACTGACGGAGTGAACCGCTGATAAATGTCAGGCTCTCCAGCGTACTTTCCCCGCCAGTTTCTTTGCTTTCAAGAAAACTGCTTGATACAAAAGAAACTCACTCTTTCGCGCATTCAAAGACATTGTGCGTGGCTCCTCAGTGAAGGGGGGTGGGGGCGAATCCAGCCTGGTGGTCAGGCGTCCTCTTTTTTTCTAACTTATACAAAGGTGCTGCCTGTGATGCCAGAGACCTAGCATATGTTTCAGAAAAGGCCAACTTGGATTTTGCCCATATGAGCTGTGTTTGATAGGGAAATGGATAAGGAATCAAAAATTATAATACATATAATTGGAATAAGGATTTTTTTTTTTTTTTTGGTTCCTCGAATGCCTTCAGGGCACTTTTGGCCAGCGGGAGAGTTGTGAGGTTCGAACTCCAGCAACCTGAGGCTGAGAGCTTTGTGGAAGCAGCCACTTAAAGGCCTGAGCTAGGGCCAGGCCCCCAATACATGTAATTGATGCCATTCTAGAGATGACATTATAGGACAGGGACAAGAGATGCTTGAACCAGGTAATTTGGGTGGCTCAGGCTCTGTGACTTAAAACGTAGGGAAAGGGATGTTCAAGGGAGAGGCGTGTTTGGTTACTTGTCTAGTTCTCTAGTCATATTAATTGAACATCTACTATTACAGTTTGTGTCTAGATGTCCCCCCAGAGCCTCATGTGCTTTTAGATGGGGCTTTTTTGGAGGTAGCTGAATCTGGAGTTTGATTAATTGATGGTGCAATGCTGGGATTAAGGGTGTTGGGATGAAGGGTGGGTGGTTGCTGGATCAGTCCACTGATGGGATTGACACCAGCCCAATCCCAGTAGCCTGATAGAAGGGGCAGAGGGAGGCTTGTCTCCCCCTTGCTGTTTCTGCTGTCTTCCACCACTATGAACAGATGCCCCTCTGCCATGTACCACCCTGCCTTGGAGCCAGCTGATTATGGACTGAAACCTCCACACACTGAGGTAAATAAACCTCTGCTCTTTCAACCTTGGGTGTTGCGAATTTTGTCTCAGTAACGAGAAAAGTAACTAAGACATCTACTAAGTACTATCTACTGCTTCAGAACTGAAGATAAAGTAGAGAATAAAGCAGACAGGATCTCTTTTCTCATAATTCTAATATTCTCATCAGGGAGACAGATGATAATCATGGATAACTAGAAAAGTTGGATGTAGTGAGACTGCTAGGGAGAAGAGCAGAGAAGGGGTGGGGGTGGGGGTGTGAGGCTGCTACTTTAGGATGCAGAGTGGGAGGCCTGGCAGGGAGGTGTCATTTAAGCTGGGATCTGAATGGCAACTGTGGGAAGCTCATGCTAATCACATCAGGCAGGGAGAGCAGCCCCTGCGGAAGGCTGGGAATGAACTTTGTGCTTCTGAGTTGGCCGAGAAGACTGACAAGTGTGGCTGAGGTGTGGTGGTGAGAAGAGTGATGGAAGGCGTCATGGAAAAAGGGCAGGTGCCAAGCTTGGATGAGGCCCACTAATGTGAACCCTGGGAGCCCTGAGGCTGGCCGGGAGTCCAATATGGCAGAGGAGGCTATGTTAGGCGACGAGAAGTGATTTGGGAGACGTGAATGTGAACCAGATTCTGACAATTCCTACATGGAGGACTGGGGAGAAATGCATTGTTTAATACTATGCATAGGGCCAATGATATAGCTCCACAGCACAGTGCCTGCCTGGCAGGTCCTGAGTTCAATTCCTCATGCAAAAACCCCCCAAAATAGTGCTATGCATAGAAATGCAAGACGGTCCAGACTGAAAGCATTCAAAGGAAAGATTTTAGGTATATGCCTTTGAGGAAGGTTTGAATATGTATGGCCACTTGCTTTTGAATGAAAGGTCTCATGGCAGCTTAAGGGTACCCCCAAATTCTTAATGTAACACTTTTGCAACATTCTATGGAATATTAAGAGGTAAGAGGTAGCATAGGATATCAAGTTGGTAACAAATGTCACTTTGTTATGAGAGCAGAGACCCTTTCCTCAGCTGCAGACAGGCACTGCTGCAGGTTGTCTCCCTTATATCCACGATTTCCCTTTCATTCTTTGGAACAGACCCCAGGTTTGATGGCCTAGGAGCCCAACTACGTACTCCTGCCTTCCAGGCGCCTTGGTCAGAGATCATCAAGGGACTTGGTCTTACCCAGTGGAGGGAGGCAGAAGCACCTGGGAGCAGGTGCTTTTCTGAACAAAGCCTGCCCAGGACAAAGTCCTTTTTGTCTTGTTTCCCGTTGTGCTTCCTCTTTCTTCCTGAAGTTGTAACTACTTGTTGACTCAGCGTTTGGAGTCTAATTCCTTTAAAGGTGGCATAAACCAGTATGTTTATGGAAAACCACCATCATCACATGAGGCAGATGGTTAAGTCTTTTGATATTTGTACTGATCTGGAGGTAAGCTATAGATATAAAATTATGATGAGGTGATTATATCAAAGTATGTCTCTGAATTCATTATACTGAAATTTCTACTCCAGATATGTAATGATAGTTTTGTTTCTTTACTTTGGCTTTATCAATTGGGGTGGCAGAGATGGCTCAGTGGTCTAAGTGTCAGCCTAGGCAAGCTGAAGGACCCAAGTTCGATCCTGGGTACTGCATGCTGTGCTGGCCCTGCCTGGGGTGCACTGAGCAGGCCACCATGCATGCTTGTAATCCTACCCACTGGGGAGGCTGAAACAGGAGAATCACTATGAGCTGCATAGTGAGAACATGTACCAAACACATAAAATGGTTTAAAAAGTCAATTGTTTTGTAAATAATTATTTTAGAAATTGTTCTTTAACATATACTGACTATAATTAAAAATACAACAGTTCTTTATGTTCCATGAGATATACAGAGTGAATGAAAGCAAGATTTTGGTTTTGAGAAAGGTAGTGATGTCATGAGATGACATTTGTTCACAAATAAATGCAAAACCACTATGTACATGATGGGGTAGACTCTGAACAGTCCTACCCAAGAACAGCCTCTGAGTGGACCTGTAAAGATGCAGAAATAAAGCACCTTCTCCAAATACAGGCAAAGGACAGATTTTAAGGATTAGAAGCCGGACATTAGGCTTAGGTGCTGGGACGTAGACAGTAAACACGATTGCCTTATGGATGTCTTACGCTGATTCTGCATGCCCTCCAGTGAGCATCCTTGCCTGTTGTATGCAGCTCTGTACAGTTCATTTGCTATTTCAGGATTAAACAAAGTGAAAGCAACTGAGAAGTGTGGCCCTTTGAAGGGCAGGCCTGTGAGGTATCAGTGAAAACATTGGCAGAGTTGGGAGAAAGAAAGGACTCTGGCAGGCTTTCAGAAGGTGCAGCATCTGAGCTCGATTGGAAAAGATGGAGGCAGTTTCTCAGGGTGAAGATGGAAGGGCTGGGATCACGAGGACATGAAACTGTGCTCAGTGACATGGGAGTGGTGGGAATGCAGGGCTGAGCACTGGAAGTGAAGTGAAGCACAGTCCCAGTCAGCTGAAGAATATGGGAAACGGTGGAGGAAGAGACCAGAAAGGGATCAAGTCAAACCATTGGGGTTGGCATTTAATATATATTTGTACCTGGGAGCCACGGAATTTTTGTAGCAAACATTAAAGCAGAGGACAACAAAAAGAGGATACAGGAGTGAATCTCATAGTATTACTGGGCAGGAAACATGGGCAGAAAGTCTGGCACCCTGTGAACAGGCTGTGAATTTCAGCTTTGGGGGAACTCGAGAAAGGAACCATGTGTGCACTTGAGGGCTGGGATGTGAACATATGGAGGGATGATGCCAGGATGGGCGCACAGGGGCAGAGGGAAGCGCTGGTTTTATTTACAGATGTTAGTTCGAGGGCAAGTGCGAAGGTCAGATGGAAATGGGAAAATCAGAGAATGGAATTCAGGTGAGAGGTGGGGTAGAGATTGAGTCACCTACCCAGGGTGAGTCAGGAGTTTGGTCGGTCATAAGCATAGAATGTGGACCTAATTATAGGCCCCAAAAACAGGACAAATGGAACAAGGAAGACAAGCGATCCAGAAACACCTTGACAAACAAAACAAAACCCGCTGCAATTACTGGTATCTATAGTTCACGTTGGTTCAGCCAGCTGTCAAGTTCTCAAAAACTCTTATCCTATCCAGTTGGGGTTGTCAAGGACGCGTCCTTGGACGATGTGCCGGGTGTTCTCTGGTCTAGAGGTGGAGCAGACACAAACGACACAGCTGAAGCAGAGGAAAGCACACTTTAGGGGGGGGGGGACCGTGGGCAACAGTGCCCGGAACCACGTTTGGATGAGGGGTGCTGACGATCGCTACACGGATTCTACAACCGCAGTCGCTGGAAGTTCCCAAGGAGGGTACAGGCGCGCTCGGCAGAGGCGGGGACACAGAAAGGCAGAGGCATTGGGAAAAGTCGCCGCGGGGCCTGCGTAGCCAGGCTGGAACCCGCTCTCTTCCTCGGCGTTCCGGCCGCGTGGCCCAGCGCCGGGCAGAGGCGGGGTCACGACTCTCAGAGCTTGTAGGCAGCAAGGCGGTTGGGGGAACGAGGGAGGGGGATGCGGGCAGACTCCGCCCCCGGGCCTACTACATTTCCCAAGATCCAGTGCGCCCCCTGAAGACTGCGGCTCGGGCTTGGAGTGCAGATTTGCAGTATGGGATTGGGAGTCAGGATCCAGGTGCCGCCCTAGTGGACGCCGATGGGGAGATCTTCAGCGATTGGCTATCGAACATTCTAGCTACGCCCTCAACTGGTGACGTCAGGAGGCTGTCTGGCTACTTAAGGCGTCGCAGTCTCTCCCGCCCCGCCTTAGCTCCCGCGCTAGAGAGAAACATGTATCGTTTCCGATCACAGCTCTTCACGGGGATTTCTGCTGCTGCCACTACTCGCTCATACCCCCGTCGCTTTTCGCCTCTGTTGTTAGCCGAAGACTCGCCTCTCAGCCGCCCGACGCACAGACGCACGAGTAGAAAGTGCAGCTCCATCGGCTGATCTTCACTGAGCTCCAGTTTAGACGGCACCGGGCGTCCCACGATGCCGAAGAATAAGAAGCGGAACGCTCCCCACCGCGGCGGCAGTAGTAGTGGCGGCGGCTCTGGGGCAGCCACGGCGACGGCGGCGACAGCAGGTAAGGGCATTCCAGTCGCTGGCGCCGGGTTTCTGGCCGGGCTCCCGCGGGGGCGCGCCGGGAGCTGTAGTTTGCTTCGCCTCGGACGCGTGCGCTTCCGGGCCGCGTGGCGCAGCCGCGGACTACAATTCCCGGCATGCCCGGCGCCCGTCCTCACGCGAGTCGAATCTGGCGTGCCTACCCGGCTTGGGCGCGGGCCGCCGGGCGGGGACGAGTGGGTGGGGGTTTGGGAGTGTCTGGATCCCGGTGTCCCGGAGCTAGGCGGGAAAGGAGCTGCCCCCCGAAGGCTGCGTTCGGCTGACCCAGGCTCTCTTTCTGACGCTGGGTGGGGCCGAGCTCGGGTGGCGACCTGGCTGTCACCCGTCGCTTGTGACCTCCGGCTCCATTATGAGTTCGTGGAGTGCCAATACGTCTGGCCGGTCCCGGCCGGCTCTGGCGTCACGCGGCCTGGGCTTTGCACCAAAGGACTGGGTTAGCGCAGGGACGCGCGAGTGGCTTTCGTCCCGCCGTCTGCTTGTGCATCCCTAGTCCATCCTCAGGGCGATGGCATTGCAGGCGAAGGCCACCACCCCACCCTGTACTGTCCGACCCCCAGCTGGTACCTGCGGAAGCCCCGAGTCCCCGGCCCCACTGCCCCCTCCTCCGGGAGACCTGCGGCCAGCGCCGAAGGCGTGGTGTCCTTTGTGCTGCCTTCTGTAGGGCTTCAGGGTAGGCAGGCGTGGTGAGGAGCCCCCGTTGCAGTTGGCTGAAAGTTTAGAGGTTCGTACCCGCGCAGCAAAGTAGAAAAGAGCTTTTTTAGGACGGGTAGGTGTTCAACTGAATATGTGTTTGTACTTAGTAACCATAAAGTTAAGAAAATGACTCTTAACCACAAAGTCCCTTGGAGATGCCACACTGAATGCACATCGATTAGCATTAAACTGGGCATACTCAGCTCACTTAGTAATTGTTTTGAGATTGTGGAGCAGAGTGTTGGACCGTGGAGAGACATTATCACTTCAGGTTAGTGTTAGAGATTAGCTGTTTGTCCACCCTGCTGCCACTCTAATCCTCAGAATGTTATCTCACTGCTCATTAGAAAAGTAAATACACCAGTTATTGCATCTTGTTCAAGGTGATTAGAAACAGGCACTTCCCCACAGGATTTGTAGCACCCCAAAACTTGTGCTCATGTATTAGACATAATAACAGACAGTTATAAATAAAATTTGTCTTTTGATTGCCCTTTATTTTGATGGAATGTTTGCCCAGTTCATGAAATTTATTCTGTGTGAAATCTGTAGTTTATGACATCTGTTTGCCCAGAGCCAATTGAGAACATTTCTTAGTTCTGTTTCAGCTTTTCCTTATCAGAAATATATGTTGAATTCAGTTTCGAAAAATGATATTGTAATTTTATGCTTGAGCTTACTTTTTGTTGATGAAATGGAAATAATGGGGGAGCAGTAAGGTAGTTGTTTTGAAAATGGAAATATACATAATGGTCTTTAAATCACAAATATTTATTCCCTCTCCAAGTAGGCAGTACACTGCCCCAGTAATAGGAAAACTGATTTTGAAATTTTGTATCAAAACCTATTTATGACCTATCATCTGCCTTATTGCTGCTTTTAAAATTATTTTTAATAGAAAAGATACATTTACACACCCACATTTAAACACCACATTTCAGCATACACAATACAAGCACTTAAAACACTCATTTTTAATATATATTAGCAAATGGAAAGTAAATATGTATTTGATTGGTTTACACAACTGTACATGCTTTATTTTTGGAAGCTTACATTATAACTTGTAAACTGTGGTTACCTCTTGCAAATGGACAAAGGAAAAAGTTCTGGGGATGAGATTGGACCTTTTTCTTTCTTTTCTTTTTTTTTTTTTTTTTGGTGGAACTGGGGATTGATCAGGCCTTTGGGCTTGCCAGGCAAGCACTTATTAACTTTGCCTTAGCCTAGTGACAGCGAAAAGAAATGAGGTCTTTAATGTATAACCAAAGAAATACTAGACTTTATTACTTTAGTGGACTTACTGCTTAGATTCTTTAAGTTAGTGGAGAGTTCTAGGAAGCTAAGAAAATTGTCCTTCTGTACAGGTGTGCATTCCTGTCACAGCACCTACTGTACTTGAAGAGAGAAAACAATCTGGAACGTCAGCTCTCTAGCAAAACAGGACTTTAGTGCCATCTCATTGATGTTACTTAGGATCAAAGGTGTGCCCTGGATAGCAGGCATTCCTGCAAGGTTTCTGCTTTATTTTTTGAAACAAAAAACTCTTGAGTCATGGAAAGAAATCCTTGAAAATGATTCTTTAAGAGAAGGAAGCTGAGTAGAGCTGCACAGTAATACAGTAATAGGCTGAATATGAAAAAAATGTAAATTGATTTGTGAGTAAATGTGAGAATAGTAATCATATGACACACAGCTTGCATGACTTGGAGTCATGAAAATATTCAGAAATAGATGTGATGTCATGGGTCTTTGTTTATTTCTACCCTAAGCATTGTGATTAGGATGTTTTAGGACTTTGGCCTCATTGCATATTCTTTGTGCTTTACTACTTTTGCTGCTTTGACAAGGAACAAGCAAATTTGAAGGCTGTTTGCTATGTTAATTTTTTAAAAAAAATCTGCTAAATCCACTTTGATTTAAAAAAAAGCCCTATTTTAAAGAAAAATAATCCAGCTGTAACAGGCTTTAACTTGAAGGATTTAAGCAGTCAGGTAGTAAACATTATGACTTGGACATAGAGACCTAGTAGCGGTAGTTGTAGTTGGGAGTTCGCGGATGCCAGAGGTTGGGTTCAGGAGTAAATCAGTTGATTCAAGGTCACTTTGAGGACAGCATATGGGACTCATTTTAACTCAGTGCACAGTATAAGTCATGACTGGGTAAATTTTTTACTAATATGAAAAGTTAGGCATTTATTCTTTAAGTTAATGAAGTTGAGAAGAGATAATTCTAGTTTCAAAAGAGCAGGGTTTTTTTCTTTCTTTTTTAAAAAAGCATTGATGTTTTTAAATTCTTAGATATTCTGAAACCTTTCTTTTAAAGGTCAGATAACCAAAACTTTCATTTTAAGCCTTTTTTCTTAAAGTTATCTTTAAAATTATCCTTCCTTAACATAGACGTGTGTCTTTGGTTCTTTGTGACGTAAGATGTACCTGAAAACATGGGCAGTGGTTAAGATTTACTAAGCCCAGTCGTTACCTTGAGAAGACTTGTCTCTGTCTTCCTCCTTACCATGATCCATGACAGAATACTTTCTAAATATATTTTATTATGCTTTATGATTTAAGATTACAGTTTGCAAGTAATGTTTCCATCCTATCAGGTTTTGTGTCATCAATCTTGTTATAGTTAACATATTATTAAAGTTGATTTGTATTGTAATTGGTGCTGTGAAATATAGATTACATTATGTGAATTGACTTTAGGAATATTTAAGTATGTACTCGTGGGATATCGTCACCTTTTTAAAAAAGTAAATGAGTTGAAGCTGAAGTTTCTTAAGTTAAATATTTGTGTACATAGCAACAATATCCTGTGCTGCTTTCCCTCTGCACCTCTAGGTGACCAGCATCGACATATCCAGCCCTTTAGTGATGAGGATGCATCCATCGAGACAATGAGCCATTGCAGTGGTTACAGCGATCCCTCCAGCTTTGCTGAGGATGGTATGTTTTAACTCTGAGCTTGCAGCTTTACCTAAAAAGGGGAAGTCTTCTCTCTAAAGCAGTGATTAACCTTGCAGGACACTGAGTGCCCAAACCCCCTTATTTATGGCAAAGTGCCGGCACTTGAGTTCCCCCTGCTGCGTGGCTGCTGGGAGGACTCAGCTGACTGAGTGCCGAGTGAGGGCCTCTGCGTGCTGCGTGCACCGCACATTTAGTCTCTTTTTTTGTTTTGTTTTCCTTTGTTTATAGGACCAGAGGTCCTTGACGAAGAAGGAACTCAAGAAGACTTAGAGTACAAATTGAAGGGATTAATTGACCTAACCTTGGATAAGAGGTAAGAAAAATTTTTAAAATCTGTCCATTCTAAATGGTGGTAGGGGGACACACTGATAATTCTGATAACTGTGGGAGGTTGAGGCAGGAAGATCACAAGTTCAAGCCCTACCAGAACAACTTAATTTAGAGTGTGTCTCAGAATGAAAAATGCAGAAAGGGTCTGGGGATGTAGTGAAGTGGGAAAGCCCTGGTTTCAACCCCAGTACAAGAAACGAAACCTTCATTAGTTGATTCTGATCAGCCACCTTACATATATAATTTGTATAGCTCTCTGGGACAACAGTGTTTTTCCAAACCTAGATTTGCTTACTTTGGATGATTTGTTTCGTATTCCTTTGGTCTTTTAACTTTAACGTGGTTGTTAAGATGTGGATAGTATTTAGATTTGAATTAGTCATTTTTCTAGCATAATAGCATACCTATAACTATATTTGATTGTACTTGAAATAGCTGTGCTGGATTAAAAGTTGATCTTCAGCTGGAAATGACAGTGGAACTTTGTTTTAAGCCGCTTGAACACTTTCATTATGGACATGAAAAATACTGTTTTCTTCATAGTAGCTCTAGAAGTGAATTAAATAGATGGAATATTTTTTAAAGCCCAGAAGATGCAAACATGAATTCTAGACTTTTGTAATGTTAAAAATGTAAATTTACTTACATAATATAGGAGTCTTGTGCAATGGAACTATGCAACTCTGTGTCATTGCTTAGTCATGGCTGTCAAACGATTAAACAGAAAAATGGTGTGATCTAAAGGAATTTAAAACTTTTGTGTATTAGGTAAATTGTAGAGCAAATTGTATTACTGGAAAATAGTTAGACCTTGATGACAGTGGGACTAGAAGATGTGTGGATAGAAGTAAGCTGTTTGGAAGTCACTGCTGATGGCACATCCCTCCACATCTTTCTCTTATATTTATCTTAAATAGTGCGAAGACAAGGCAGGCAGCTCTTGAAGGCATTAAAAATGCACTGGCTTCAAAAATGCTCTATGAATTCATTCTGGAAAGAAGAATGACCTTAACTGATAGTGTTGAACGCTGCCTGAAGAAAGGTAACACCATTATTTTGGGATCACTGGCACAGAACTAAGATGGCTTTGCTATGTTCTTTAAAGTAATGTTTGTTAATGGTGCTAGAATATGAGCTCACTCTTAGGATAGTGATAGGGTATATATGATGAGCAACAGACCTCAGAATGAGATTGGCTAGAAACTGTCTTGTGCAGTAATATTGAAATGAGGAAGGATGGAGGTTGGATTGCCTGCCATTCCTTTTTATATCAAAGAACTGATTGCCATCTTCTACAAAAGAAAGGCTTGATAGTGTCAGTTGTCACCATTATTAAGGTATAATTTCAAAGCCATTCTACTTCATTTTCTAAACTTCAATCATGTAGTTTCCTTTTCCTTTGCCTGTACTGTAAACATTTGTTGTACATGTAAATGACATAATTTTCAGGATAACCCTTGAGATATTTGAATTTGTGGTCATGTTATGATGATACAACTTTGAAGAATAAAGTGACACCTTAAAGGTGAAGTCTAGTGATACCAGCCTTCAGTTTTAGGAACCACCACAGTTAATAAAATGATGTGCATCTGCCAGTTTACTTATTTTGCCAACTAAGGACATTATAAACGTAGTTACTTTCTATCATTACCTCTTTAGTTTCAAAATCTAGCACCAAAAAAGTATGGAGCCCAAGTGTCTTAAATTGAATGTGCTCTGCCATATCTGTATTTTTCTCATTTTGTCTTTGGTGAAAGCTGTCATGAATGAAACCTTTGAGATCTGCCCCACCCATTTTACAGAATAAGGAAAGGTCTGGGGAAAGTGAGTTGGCTCCAGGCTTATGTAACTTCTTAGTGGTATAGTTGATAGTAGGGCCAACTTTTTTGGGATAACACAGTGGATTTTTAAGTTACTTCATATTGAAATTGTCTCCCATAATGATAGTTAGACTATATGACTTAAAAAAATCCATTCCAATCTTATTTATACATGTTTAATTTATCAGATAATTTAGGTTTAGTATTTGCCTAAACCCCTTAGTGCATACAGTTGTCAAAACAATTAATTTTCCGTTATTTTTTTGGAATATATTTTCTGTAGTTTTAAAGAATCCTATTTTTAATGCTTTATTTTGTTAAAAGTTTTGGCGAGAAACTGGGAAAATTACTTTGTGGACTGTACATCTGAAATACTTAGGAGACTAATTCAGGAGCCACTTGAATATCCATACTGAATGTCGTAAAAGAATTGGAAAGCAGAAAGCAACATGAAACACATTGTTTAGCCATTACAGGGTTCCCTTAGAAGGATTAATTAACTTGCATTTTATTGAACAGTAAAGCTGCTTAGAGAGTAAGAGTAGGTGGTGGTTGTCGGCTAATTCATGGCAGTGCTAGGGTTTGATTGGTTGTAAAATTGGAGCACATGCACTGGAGAGGTAACTCAGCGGTCTGAGCACCTGCCTGGCAAGCAAGGTTTAATCCCCAGTACCACATGCCATGCTGGCCCCGGAACCCTAGGTGGGCCACTAAGACTGGGGGGGGCGGGGGGTGGCACACGCCCATGATCCCAGCACTGGGGAGTTTGAGAAAGGAAGATCACTATGGGTTGGAGCTGAGTAGTGAGACCCTGTACTGAAGCAAGGAAGGATTTAAAAAATAAATAACTAAATAAATTAAAATTGGAGCACATTAGCTTCACTAGGTTTCCACTTCATGGCCATGCCTGGAGCGCAGGAAGGGTTCCGTAAAGGGTAGGTACTGTTTTGTAATTGAAAGAATTGGGAAGAGACTGGCTGAAGTGGCGTCCTGACAATAATAATGTGCCACGGTGGCGTGTCGGCCTCTTTCCTAGGAAAGAGCGACGAGCAGCGTGCAGCCGCGGTGCTGGCCTCCGTGCTTTGTGTTCAGCTGGGCCCTGGCATCGAAAGTGAAGAGATTTTAAAGACTCTTGGGCCCATCCTAAAGAAAATAATGTGTGACGGAACAGCTAGTGTCCAGGCAAGGCAGACTGTAAGTATGAGGTTTGTGTGTAGCAATACCTAGGCATGGTACTCTCAGGCATAAAAAAGTTCTTATTAATACTTTATTATATTTGTCTTTTGGTTTAGCAAAAAGGTGTAATATGGCAATTGTTTTCTTAAATTTTCTTACTCCAAAGAGCATCCTGTGTAAATTTCTACATATGGAAAGTGAAGGTAATTTTATTCAAGATGGTTATAGAATAATTTTGATTGGAATTTAAAGAAAGGATTTAGACACTTAATGATTATTGGTAGCTTTTTTCTTTAGGTCAAATGCATTGCTTTCTTTTTCTTGCCTGCTGTGTCCTACATATGCCCTTTAAAAAGCTGAATTTGGGTCGCCCTGTGCATCTCTGAAACTGGCCTCTGATGACATATTTTTCCTTTTGAGACTTGAAAATGTGCTCATTCTCTAGTCAGTACTCTGTAGTTTGGTATTTGATTTTTATGAGCTTTCTGCTTCCATGCTCATTTCTTGGAAGCTGTTTTGAGTTTTCATAGTAAAGTCTTCATAAAAATCAACAAATGTAACACTTCTCTCTTTTTACTTGTTCTTTATTTTTTGTTTTTGGTAGACTCAGGATCAGACCCAGGTCCTTCTTCTGCTGAGCTACATCTCCAGCGTTACCTCCACCTCCCCTTGGGAGAAACTTGCAAAGCTGCCAGATTTTCTAGGCTCCGCTCAAACTTGTAGCCCCGCTCCCTTGGCCTCCATAGCGCTGAGGGTACAGGTGTGATCCCCCAGCTCAGCTCATAGAAGTCACCTTGGAAACCAGTAGCAATGTTATAGTTTTTAATAGGAGGATTGGACTTCTTTAATGTTGAAACTTACGTCTCCATTTTTTAAAGTAGAGTTTAAGTTTGAAATGATCTAGGCATTGGTGCCGCATATAAGGAAGCAGTGAGGTGATAGTCAAAGTGCTTTTACTAAATGGAGAGTAAGAAAAATAATAATTTCAGCAATAGGATATGGAGCTGGAATGCATTTAAAAATTACAACGTTCATTTGCACACAGTATTCCTCTCCAATTTTATGAGTTAATAAAAAAAAAGTCCCACAGGGAACAGGGTCATCTTCCTAAAGTTGCACTGTGAGGTAGGTGGCAGAGTGTGGGCGGAAACGCTCACTCAGCTCTTCGGCCAGTGTTTCGTTTCTCTTTTCCATACAGTGTACTTAGAAACTAATGGAGTCAAGTAGTGAAGAAAATTGTCTCTTTCAACTGTAAGAACAGATGCAGAATTTGTTTGTAAGTTACCAACACTAACGTTGTTTAATTTTATTTTTTAGTGTGCAACTTGCTTTGGTGTTTGCTCTTTTATTGCCACAGATGACATTACCGTAAGTAAAAACCTTTGGTCCAGTTCTGTGCGCTTATTTCTGATTTAAGGGGGTTTGTCTTATTGCGTGTTCTTTCCTGCTAGGAACTGTATTCAACCCTGGACTGTTTGGAAAACATCTTCACCAAGTCCTATCTCAAAGACAAAGACTCCAATGGCATTTGCAGCACGCCCTCCACAGTGCTCCACATCAGCTCGCTTCTCTCGTGGACGTTGTTACTGACCATCTGCCCCATCAGCGAAGTGAAGAAAAGGCTGGAGATGTAGGCATTGTTTCAGCTTTGTATTTTATAAACACATTCAATTGGCATGACTGGTTGCATTCACGTAGTAATGACTCACTGTTTTCTAGGCATTTCCATAAACTTCCAAGCCTGCTTTCTTGTGATGATGTAAACATGAGAATAGCTGCTGGTGAATCTTTGGCGCTTCTGTTTGAATTGGCCAGAGAGATGGAGACTGTAAGTATCTGATGGGCAGCTGAAGCTGCTGTTGCTCGGGGACCATTGTTGCCTTGTACCATCGCAGTTAAGAATTAGATAATAAGCTTGGAGGTTGGCCAGCGAAGAACCTGGTGACAGATTGATTGTGCTGCTTATCATGAATAATACTTCTAAGAAGGCCTAACCTGACAGGAATTGGTAGCATGATATTTGAGCATACTTACACTGAAGTTTTGCTGTCTATAAAACTAAAGTTTAGGGGTGGTCTGAGCTTGAGGGAGAGTTATGTATGGCATAACCTGTTCAGAACTGCTTAGATTTCTCAGATGCCCGACACACTAAGGCAGTTCAGGCATGTGACACTTTGTAAGGAGTACCAGACAAATGGGTGGGATGCTGAGCCAGCATAGGGTGGGATGGGCTGAGTGGATTCCTTGTTTCACATCACCTTTTCCAGTGGTGCATGTGCTTTGTAGTTCCACTGTCCATGCACAGATGTTAGTCACCATGGCATGGCTCTTGAAGATGTTTGAGTTTGTGGCTCAGTTTCCTGGGTTCTGTTTCAGCTGTAGCATTTAAAATATTGTGCTCAGGACACCCTTTGTCTAAGGCACTGAATCATGTCAGTTTTTAACTGTCAAGATAGCAAGTAGATGGATCCAGTAAGAAAACCCAAATAGATGGGTAATAGGCAAATAAGAGGTATTTATCTAACCTTGACTTATGTACTAGATACTTTTTAATCTAAGGAGAAAATATTTTGAGAATGGAACATTGTAAGGAATGGAATATTTTGGAATAGGATTAATAGTGTTCTGGGTTACCTGCTGTGTTTAGTCTTCTGTGTTTTATTGTAGACATATGCCTTAAAATGTTCGGGCTCTTCAAATTTGTATGTGTGAAGTGTCTGCGCAGCTCCCTTGCTGTCCTTTGTGGAAGGCTAGCAGGAAAGAACGGGCAGGAAGCTAATGGGGGAGCTAATGATTCTCCTTCTGTGGAAATTGAACTCAAATTCAGCAGTTAACGGTTGCTGGCTCCTTAACCTCAAGGCCCAGAAGCCAGATGTCCCAGTTTTTAATCTTGTATTTTTCTAACAGCTAGAAACTAATTTTTTCTTTGAAATTCATCTTAAAAGTAACAATGCAGTTCGAATTGTACATGTTAAGTTTGTTTAAATGGGTGTAAACATAGCATATTACCACTGTATGCCTTTGTTTTCTGACTTTAGGCATCATATAGGTGAGCCAGGGGACATCCAGACATATTATGACTTAGGTCCTTGTCCATGGACAAAAACAAGCTGGTTTACAAACAGTACCTTGTCTGCTATTTTTACTTACGTAAACCTTTTACATGTGTGTAATGGGGTAGTTACAGTGTATGGGCAGTGACAACAATGTAGACCAGGGAGGCCTGGGAGTAGAGCCCTGTGGTTGAGGCCTCACATGCAAAAAAGGCTTGGGGTCAATCCGCAGCACCACAAAAACCAAAAATTTTAAACCAGGTGGTTGATGAAATGCATAGGAAGATTTAAGTAGTCTTTGTAGCAAATGAATAGTGTTGTTTACTCAGAGCTTTTGTTAACCTAATTTTGAGATGTTATTAGCTTGGCATTGTGATGAATTCTGCCTCAGAGACTTAGGAAAAAGTTGTGAAGAGCTGACTTAGGTTGGGTTTCTGAGAGCAAATTGGTGAGTTATTAGTCACTGTGTTCAAGATGAAGTTAGGTGTTGTTGCTCCCTGTTGAGAGTTTGTTTACCTTGCTTACGCGTGCAGGCTGGGGCTTGGAGGTCTCATTTCTCCTGTCTAGGTTCTCATTTCTCTTGTACCTTCTTAGTTGGATGATGATGTTCTGCAGCTTCTCTGTGCCTCACTCGTCTTTAGAGTGAAGAGAACACTAGCAGCTGCGCCCAGGGTTGCTGAGAACCAGGTGCAGTGTAAGTGGTTGCTGTTAACAGAATGCTTGATGGGACGAGCGTGGCCCCGTCTCCTCAGCAGGACTGTGTTTATGGGCAACTCGAGGGAAGTTGCGGGAGGCTGTTAGGTGGGTAGAGTTACAGGCCACAGGGATGTGATATCTGGGTGCAAGACGGACTCAGAAAAATGTACAGTAGGAGGTATTCTCCCGTTCCCCTGTCCCACCCCCATCTCACTTGGTGGGAAACCCCATGTGTGGAGAGAAGAAACCCTGAAGACTAACAACACATTCCACACTAAATCTGATAATTTCAAGAAATAAATCTTTGTGCTTAGAGAATCAGGTAAGAAGCTGAGGAGGGATCAACTTCTGGTTTTTTGTGGTACCAGGGCATTGAACGCATGACCTTGTGCTTGCCAGGCAAGCACTTTTTCCACTGAGCTATCTCCCCGGCCCTCAACTTCTGTTTTAATGTTAGACTTCCATAAGAGTCGTGTCACTTTTTTTCTCTTCATTGCTGGGGATCCAACTCAAGGCCTTAACAAACTCTAGGCAGGCATTCTGAGCCTGCTGCTGAGTGACTGCTGAGCCGCACCCCCAGCCTATGATTTTTATAACACTTATAATAGCTGTTCAAGACCAGCTTACTTCGTCGCTTTTAGTTGGTGCTCCGGTGAGTTCTTTATAGAGATGCTAGTTTTGGGAATGACTTTGTGATCGTAAGAATTTCACCCAGTCTAGACTCTTCTAAAAATTGTCATTCTGTCTTGGCGACAGACTCTCTAGGTTGCCCAAACTAGCCTTTTCCAGCCTCCTGAGTACCTGGGCTTGTAGGCATGCACCACTGTAGATAGCCCTTCCGAAGGTTTCTGTGGTTTCATTTCATGCTAATTCCACTGAACTTTTGAAAACATTTGATTATGGTCATTATTTTGGTATGAAGTAATTGCCTTTAGCTGACAAGTTTGTCAACTTTATGTTGTGTTACTTTGAACAGACTGTCCGAACAGTAAGAGGTGTCATACATTAGTGAATGTCATATATTAATGTTTATACATTTTTAATATTTCGCTTAATATTTGTAGTAAACCTATGAGATGCCACTGGTATTGTTTCCATTTTATAAAAGATGAACCTGAGGCACAAATTGCTAATATAATTACACCCAAGCTTGTGTATATCTAAGTGGTTGGACGCTTTTGATTCAAACTTCGATGTTCTTACTGCATAATCTGTGCCTTACATGACATTATATAGCTTCTTCTAGATCTAACTTGTTACTCCAATTTTTTTTTTAATATTCTGTATAAAATCCTCTAAATCTGGAATACTGACATGATACCTCAACTCTTATATAGGAAGGTGGGTATCCTTTTTTTAAGATGATAAAGCAGAGGCCCAATTATTGAAGCATAGTATGGTGTGTAGTACACATTTGAAATTCTAATTCAAGACTTTGATCCTGTTGTATAATAATGACTATTTTCTTTTCATTAATGATGAGAGTTAAGACCCTTGTGTGTGTGCTGGAACCCATTCTTTGTTGTGTGGCATACAGTTTTATGGTACAGCTACTCTAAACTCCAGTGAATAGGCTTTGGGTGCTATTTTTGTCATGTTGAATTTTTTTTCTTTTTTTTTAAATATATGCCCCAGGGGCTTATGGAGTCTTTTCCCTAAAATGCTAGACATTGTTTTATCTAAGTTTTAATACTTATTACAATAAACTAGACTGAGTGTTTTCCATGGCTAAGATCATATTGGAGTTTCTCAGCCTTAGCATGCTGGTGTTTGAGGCTGGATAATGTTTTGCAATTGGGCTGCCAAGGGCATCGAAGGATTCAGGAGTGTCCTGGCCCCTGTGTGCTAGGTGCCAGCAGTACCCTTTGCCCCTATTACGACCACAAAGATGTCTTCAAATGTCCCCTGGGAGGTAGGATCATCCCCAGTTGGAAACACTGGCAGTGGTTCTCAGTTCTTAAAACAAGTTAAAGTGACATTAGAATTTTGGTTTATTTAATCTGTATAATAGATTTTTAAGTTAGTGTTACGTCAAACTCAAACTTAGATTAAATTGACACACTTGAGGAAAACAGTTGAGATAGTAAACAGTAAGACAAAGTCTATATATTTCAAAATAGGATGGTCCCACTAATTTCAAGCTTATTTTCCAACAGTACAGCGATCTTTAATTTTGAGATTGGGTAATTGTGTGTGTAATTCTAAGAATAAGAACTGCTTATTTTAATAGAACAGTTAAATGATTATCAGATATGCTGCAAGCAAATGTCAAATACAAACTAGAACTATAGAGATTGCTCACTTGTAGTTTCTTAGTAAGAAATATTGGCTCTGGTTTTAGTTAGCTAAAGAAGTGAATCTTACTGGGTTTTTGTTTTGATTTGTGTTCTTTGGTGGTGGTACTGAGGTACTGGTGTTTGAGACCAGGTCTTCACTTTGTGTCCCACCAGCACCCTTTAGTCTCTTTCAGGAGACAAGATCTTGCTCAGTTGCCCCAGGCTGGGCTTTGCTTCCCGGCCTTTGGTCTCCGCACTTTGATGACTCTAGAAGTTGTAAAAGAACAGTAACCAGTGAAACAAACTTGCTTTTTTGTTCTTGCCCAGGACTTCTTTTATGAAGACATAGAATCTTTGACCCAGATGCTGAGGGCTTTGGCTACAGATGGAAATAAACACCGGGCCAAAGTGGACAAGAGAAAGCAGCGCTCCGTGTTCAGAGACGTCCTGCGGGCGGTCGAGGTAGGCCTCCTTGGTGCCGTAGTAGCTGCTTATTTTGGGTAATTGTTTTAGGCTGGACTTAAAATGGGCTCATTCTGTTGATTGAATTTCATACAGACCAAGTGGTACTGGGGATTGAACCAGGGCCTTTGCACTGAGCTACATCTCTGGCCCTTTTTAAAAAGCTTTCGAGACATGGTCTTGCTAAGTTTCCCAGGTGGGACCTGAACTTGCTCCTGCTTCAGCCTCGCCCAGTGCTGGGATCACAGGTGTGTGCCACTGCACTTGGCTCCAAGCAGATTTTTAACAGCCTAGGTGAAAAAAAATTTTTTTTTTAAATTAGAGGGCAGTGTTCTTTGTGAATGTGTTGAAATCCTGTGTACCCCTCTATCTCCAGCATTACCTTTTCTGTAAGGACCTTTGTGATCTCTCCAGGAAGACTAGGTGCTAAGAACTGAACAGCACAGTGGGTCTGCTGAGGCACTTCATCACCATACTGGAGCTCCTGCCTAGTCCTGGAATCTGCTTCAGTCTGTGGCAAAGAAATGGGTTGAGAAACGCTGGGGACTAGGATGCCCATGTAGAATGAGCTGCAGGATGGGGCACTCTTCAGAGGATACCGCAGCCTGGCAGCTGTCTGGCTGGCCAGGGAAGGAACATTTCTTAGGTATAACGGGTGGTTTCTCAGGTTACTTCCAGCTTTTAAGGCCATCACTCCACAGCCAACTTTGAAGGACACCTGAAATTCTCATTCTTCATTTTAATTACTTTTTTTTTTTTTTTTTTGTGGAACCAGGGCTTGAACTCAGACCCTTGTGCTTGCCAGGGAAGTGCCTGTTCCACTGAGCCGTCTCCCCGGTCCCCATTTAATTACTTTAATAGAAACAAAATGTATATATAAATTAGATCTTTAGGGGTCTAAATGGTTTGATTGATGGTAACTATAATCACATTCTAGTAATATTTTATGTTTGGATTTTATATTTAAATAAAACCTTATGACTTGAGCAGACAGTGACATTAAGAATTGCAATTAGTTTATGGCTAGGATGGCTGTATTCCTAAGTTAGGCAAGCCATTCTCTTTGAATACCTGTACACTATTTCTTTTTTATTTCATTTTTTTGAGACAGGATCTCACTAAGTTACCCAGACTGAGCTCAAACTTGGGTTCCTCCTGCCTCAGGCTCGGCCCCCCATAATGCTCGGATACACCTCCAGCAGCTCCTATAAACTGTTTTCTGTTTTTGGACAACATAGTCTACAGAGATATGATGATGTCATGTCCTAGGTTAGACCTGTCTTTCTGGGTTAGACCTGATTGCAGATTGTGTGTCTTGCTGGGTAGTTGATGATAAGCAGTCAGTGTGGCCCTGGAAGTCTTCAGTAGCCCCTCCACGGGCACGCCAGCACATGCAGCTCTGCCCAGCCCAAGCCCCAGATCTGCCAGGCCCGCCAGCACGGAGGCCGTTCTTCCCCAGGAGCAAGCCATCTATCTGCCCACCCTCTCCCCTTCAGCACTGGTGGCAGCACCTCCCCTGCCCTGCTGTTGGGCTCCCCATTTTCTAGCCTCTGCCTTCAGTGCGCCGGAGAAGGGTCTCGCCAGCCACTTAAGTTCTTGTCTCTCTCCGAATGGAGCTCAGCTCCCTTGGGAGGACCCTGCTTCCTTGATGCATCTTTTAGGTGAAGGCTGCTCAGCTGCCGGAGAACGACACATCTGAGGAGTCGGTGGCTGCCACATCGTTTCTGTGGATCCAGAACCCACAGATGTTGAATGTGTTAGATGCTTTGCCATGGGGTTTCCTCCTTTCTCTTTCATTGGAACTTTTAGGCAATAGAAATTCTCATTTGTAAGGAAGAAGAAACGCCAAATCATCTATAATCCCCGCTCTTTGGGAAATTTATTTTTATTTATTTATTTATTTTGCGGAACTGGGGATTCAACTCGGGCCCTTGTGCTTTTCAGACAAGAGCTTATTCTACTGAGCTATCTTCCGGCCCCTACTTTGAGAAATTTAGGCAGGAGGATCAGAATTTGGAGCCCACTTTAGCAAGACCCTGTGTCAAAAAACAAAAATGGCTTTAGTGCAAAGGCTCTGGGTTTAATCTCCAGTGTAAACTCAAACAACAATCAGTAAACAAAACAATAAGTAGCAAAACTCAAACTTGATCCTTAGCACTGTACTTTTTCCGCAGGGCCAAACTACGGATAGATAGGTCAGGTGTGAGGAGGGGTAGAACGTTTCCTTATCTGTAGTTAGGTCACTGGGGACCTTTAAGAGCAGCGTCATTGGAGCCGTGCTGGAAGAGCCCAGTTGAAGTGACCTGGAAAGTGAGGAAGCGGACAGGGTGCGTCCCTTTCTGTTGAAAAGCTTGGTTGTGTTGGGAAGGGATGAGAATCTGTAGCTGGCGTGTAGTGCTGGATTACATATAGAGGGCTGTGGTTTTTCTTTGTTTTAGACGCTAGAGATACGGGAAAGGGAACCAGTGGAACAGGAGCATTGGGAAATACGAGTGAAAGATGGGACTCACCTTAGGAAGCCTGAGGTTAGAGTCAGGAGAGAGGCTGGAAAGTGGAGTCCTGGGGCCAGGGAGATGGCTCAGTAGGATAAGCGCTTGACTGGCAAACGCAAGGATCTGAGTTCAATCCCTGGTTCCGCAAAAAAAAAAAAAAAAGAAAGAAAGAAAGAAAGTGGAATCCTTCCCAGGGGGGCAGGGTTTTGTGAAGGCAAGGCTGAACTCCTAGAATGCTGCTGTACTAGATCGTTGAGCTGGTGACCCCAGGCGGCTGCTGTGTGTGATCAGGGACCCGCGCGCTCTTGCGTGGTAACTCCTGGGCCCTCCTTGCTGGCTCTTGTTGGGCTTGGTCTGTTAGCCCCGGCCGTCTTCCTTCCCAGATCCCTGCCCACCCTCTCAGCTGTGTAGTCTTCTCTTACTCACTGTTCCCTTCCCACTCCAGGTCAGTGTCCACCCCTGGCCTTATTAAAGTTTCTTGAGTGCTTTTAAAATATTCACAGCAGTGTGGTTTTGTCATTCCTACTTACTCAAGTTCAAGTCTGTACAATTAGACAAATTCTACATCCTCACATGCAGGGACAGTAATTCTGAGCCTTTTCACATCTCAACGATGATAATACCAGTTTAAAATATTGTTCAGTTGTCTCATTTATCAGATATTTTTAGAAGTAGTGTTTATGTAAGATCTTTCTGGGCCATTTCATACCTGTGATGATTTTGTCTTGTGTTGTCTAGGAACGGGATTTTCCAACAGAAACTGTTAAATTTGGTCCTGAACGCATGTATATCGATACCTGGGTCAAGAAACACACTTATGACACCTTTAAAGAGATCCTTGGGTCAGGGATGCAGTACCATTTGCAGGTGAGGGACATTTCTATACCTTTGCTTAAGAAATGACTTAAATGTACCTCGACTTAAATATAACTCACCGAGAACAGTGAGTCTGTTCTTGAATGTGAACTCAAAACTTTTCTTTTGTGTGGTGAAATCTGCATGAAGGCTCTTGATAATTTTGATGAAAGTATATATAGTTCCACATGATTTTCTGGGATTCAAGGAATTGGAAAACAATTTGCTCTCATACTGAGAAATAGTGTGGTAGGTTCATCCTTATCCTTTGCACATTACTTCTGTGAATCAGATCCATTCTAGGCGGTGAAAAAGAGCTATGAACAAGAGCTATTTAATATGGAGCTTTGTTTTTTTCTGTCACTTAAGTCAAATGAATTCCTGCGCAACGTGTTTGAACTTGGACCCCCGGTGATGCTTGATGCTGCAATGCTTAAAACAATGAAGATTTCTCGTTTTGAAAGAGTGAGTTTTTGTTTCTGTTTATAACAGAATTAAATGCTGTAAGGAAAATTGGGGGTAAAGCTCTGATGCTGCCTGGGGCCGGGCACTCGGCCGTGTCGCCTCATGCATGGAAGTTCAGTTTTCCATGTCTCACACAGAGTAACTGTGCTGAAGGTGTAGAAGCTTGATAGCACTGAGAATGTGGGAGATTTAAGATTGTTTCCCTGTAACCATACTGTTTTAATACAGAAATTAGGTTGAGTCTTGTTCCTTTTTCTAATGAGATACTGTTTGTAAAATTACACACTGCGGTTACAGGTAAACATTTCAAACATCCTTAATTTTATATGTTTTTTTAATTGAGGTTAGAGTTACGTAAGAGTGTTTTGAAATGTACAGCTCAGTTGCATTTATTACATTCATGATGTCGTACAGCCAGTCACCTCTATGTACTTCCAAAACATTTTCCTCACCTAGGAAGAGACCTTTTACATGAAAGAAGTGCCCATGCTCAGGACTTCTAGGCAGTGAAAAAGAGCTATGAACTAGAGCTATTTTATTTAATGTGGAGCTTTGTAGGGGCCGGGTAGATGGCTCAGTAGAATAAGTGTTTCCCTGGGAAGCACAAGGGCCTGAGTTCAATCCCCGGTTCTGACAAAAAAAAAAAAAAAAAGAGTTTTTTTTTTTTTTTTTTTTTTCTTTCATTTAAGTCAAATGAATGCAGTGTGTTTGAACTTGGACCCCTGGTGGGTGATGTAAGATAAACATTTGTTTATCTTTATCTGCACATTTGACAGCAGTAGTTTTTTAATTATAAGAAACTGTTCAAAAACTGGTCTTGATTACATAGTGAAACCTTATCTCAAAAATAAGAAAAAAGGGCCGGCCATATAGCTCAACAGATTTAAGTGCCTGCCTAGGCAGATGCTGCATCCGGGGTTTGGTCTCCAGCGTGCCGTGCCAGCCCTGCCCCCAGAGTGCCGAGACAGTGGTTGATACTGGGTGATTGAGACTGGGTGCGCCTGTAATGCCAGCACTTGGGAGACTGAATACAGGTGGCTCACTATGAGTCCGATCTGTGTAGTAAGACCCTGTAGACCCTGTACTAAAATACAAAAATAAAGAAAGAAAAGTTAATGTAATTGTTATTACAGCGGCCCCCCATCACTGTTGTATTTTGAATTGGTAGCTGAGTAGCACCTTCCTTTCACGTCAATCATGACTTGTGATCAGATTCACTGATGGTCATTTTTACCCTCTTTGCTTGGAATTTACTTACAATTTTGGTTCATAAATTTTGTAACATAGAATAGCCACTAACTGTGCTGTTTTCTGCCTAATTTTTTGTGTATTACAAATATTTAAAATAGTCAAATTAGTTGATTTCTTTTACGAGTGTATCTTTTATTTTCTAAGGACGTCGTTAGGCCTGCTGACTCACGCATGTTTCCTCTTGATTGCAGCATTTATATAACTCTGCAGCTTTTAAAGCACGGACGAAAGCTCGAAGCAAGTGTCGGGATAAGAGAGCAGATGTTGGAGAAGTCTTCTAGATTTTTAGCACTTGATGACTTTTTTCTAATTTCTTTTCCTATTTTTAATGTACATAAGCCTTAGAGACAGTTTTTATCTTGGGTCAAGTTATCTCATTTTGTAGAGGGGGGATTATATATTCCTTCTAACTTAATGTACAGTATTATAAATGATGAGTTCTGATTTATTCAATATTCTCTAAATGTAATCCATAAACGTGAATAAAGAATAATGTTTGGTCATGCTCTGTTTCAGAAATGAGCAAAAAGATGGCATTTCACTTGATTTCATGTTGAGAAGGGTTTGATTTCTTATACTGTGCTTGTCAAAATATTGGCGAATTTAATGATATACATATAAGATTGTTAATATCTTAAGAGTTTTGGATGCAGGCTTCAGAAGCTAGCTCCTTGGGGAGAGCTGCTGTATTTTAAATGGACTGCAGCAGTTTCATTTTTATCACTGGGATAAACAAGGATTATACACTAAAATTTGTAAGAGCTAAAGACCATTGATTGATGTTTCAGCTACTGGAGTTTGTGGTGAGTTAGCCCGGGCTGGAAAGGTGGCTGACCCAGACTGTTGTGGTGACACTCATTTTATCTGCTGTGTGAGAGGTTGTTCTTATCACTTGGAAATAAAGATCTTTTCACACTGAAAGTGCTTGTTTTCTTATAGAAGAAACAATCTTATAACTTAGAAGGATAGAGTTCAAAACACTCAAGCCAGGTAGGGCTTTTGTCTGTTTAAAAACTTCAAAATTAAATAAATAATGTAATGTAAAATTGGCATCCAGCTACTGACCTTTATTTCTGTTTGATTGTCTTCTTCAGACTTTTTTTTAATGAAAAGTTGTATGCTTTTTGGTATTAAACTTTGAAGTATTCAGCTATGTGCTGTTTGGGATCCATAGACTTGTGTCTTTGCTTTTCTTGCTGCACATAGGTGGCTGAACAGTGGGAAGCATGCACCGGAAGTACCCAGATCACTCCTGATAGCGTTACCACACTTCATTTCTGCCTGTGCCTCCACATCCCCAACAGCTGGCGTGCTGACCACCCTCTTGGTGCAGATCACTGGCAGAATGCGGCATTGCAGTCCCTGGGTTCTGTCCCTTGGTGCTGGGACAGTAGCAGATGGGCTGGACTCTGGACCTTGAATTTCTGTGTTATCACTTCCTTATAGCCCAAGTAGGCTGGGTCTCTGGAGAAGAGATTGCAGAACAGTAGGGTTTTTTTGTTTTTGCTTATTTAAATTTTTCTGTAAGAATGGAGTTTTACTGAAGGCATAGTTTAATGGTACTTGTAGAGTTACAGGGAAAAAGCTTTCTCAGTCCTTCTCATCCAAGGGACATTCAGCCTTCACTTTTTTGTACCCATTTCATTTTTCTAAGTAATACACAGCTACTTTTAGTTTATTATGTATATTTATATCCTGTTCTGACAAGTGAAGATTGTCTTTATTTCCCTTATTCTAGTACATTTTTTGGTTAAATCGTCAGCATCATTTGCATGGTTTTAACCATATTTATGTTTTCACTCCTGGTTTAGCTTATTGTACTTAAATTTTTATTCTCGGAACAAGTCCTCAAGTTAATAATTACCTTTTTCTCCCCATATGTTCATCATCCGTTTGTCCCAGACTGTACTACAGAAAGTTATAGAATTGTTGGTCTCAGTGTGCCTAGGTCTAAGTGTCTACTTCCTTTCCTGAAACATCACTGTTCTGCTGGGGCATTTTCCTCTCCAGTTGGACCCCACATTTTCTGCACCCCACATCTTGGTTACCCCATTTTTTTGCTTGTTAGAGTGCTTCCTTCAGGAGTCCCTGAGAAATGGAAACATGGGTGCATTATCCTAAGGATTCACATTTCTAAAAGAATATGCTTAGTAGATGGAGTTATAGGTAGAAAATCAAATTCAAGATTTAAATGATGTATTCAAATTCAAAATTTTGAAAGCATTGCTGTACTGTCTTCAAATTGGCACAGTGGTGAGATTTGGTGCAATTTGTATTTCTGTTCCATCTTTTACTCTTAAAAATCTGGCTAGTATTCTAAAAATTGCATGATGCTGTGCTTTGATGGGCTTGATAATGTAAACCTCTCTTAGTTTTTGACCTTCCCCACCAACTTACTCTTTGGCTGGCTCAGCTACCCTGAAGGTGGGGCTGGCATGCCATGTGGTGCTGGGGATTGAACCTCGGTCCCCTCCTGCTGCCTAAGCTTACCAGGTACTTTAGACTGCCGAGCTATCTTTTTTTTTTTTTTTTTTGCCTTTTATTTATTTTTATTTTA